AATGAATGGAAACCCAAAATCTCTGTAAATGTTCATTAAAATTAATAAAATTTAATTAAAAAGAAAAAAAAAAAAGAAAATCCTATGGACCATAATGGTCCAATTCCCAAGTGATAGTAGGAATAGTTTTGGATCTGGTACCGTTTCTTTCTGTTGTTATGGAGTCATGTGTATCAGGACCAAACTCAGTATTAGTTGACAACAACAACTTGCTTGGTCCTGGGGAAGTAATGAGTTCAGCATGAAGCCTAATCGGAAGAGACACATAATAGTTGTTCTTCTTAAAGCATACACAATTGATATGCCAATAAATGTTACACAACTGGACAGAGGAATGGATGGACAAATGAATAGTTGAGCAGGTGGATGGCTGTATGAGAGAGCCTCTTAATAGCAAAAGACGGAGTAATAATAGGCATAGATCAACAGCAATTATTTTATAAAACACAATGCATATGAATGACTGTATGAAATACAATGTGAATGAAAGATTGTGTGAAACACAATGTACCTGGAAGAAGCACAATGTATATGAATTCTGAATGTGAACTAATATAAAAATTTTAAAAAGAGGTTCTGTGAGGCCAATTTAGCAGCATACAATTAAAAACCATAAAAACTCCAATCCCAAGAACTTTTATCTGTTGAAATGAGAGGTTAAACTTTAACAACTCTCCTTTAGTTTTCAAAAGCACAGGTTCCTTTCTTCAAATATATTTTCCCACTAAGTGCCTGCAATCTTGTTCCTAAAAATTAGGTGTTGTTCGTTTAAAAAAAAAAAGCCAAAACCAACCAACCAACAAGAAGACTATTTATGATTCTTTCAAATGGGAAAAATTACTAGACATCAACTCCAGAACTACTACAATTTCCCAAAACGTAATTAAAACAGTAAAATGTTGTCAGTGATCACAATTGAATTTAACGTGCTTAAGATATATCTTCCTGGACACAAAATCATTATCAGGGTTGTTGGCAAATAATTGCTGCGTGTGGTAACGTGACCCAGGACTGGCTCTCAGCACGGTCACATCTAATGCTCAGCCCCTGGGGACCTCTCATTCAAAATTCCTATGTGGGAGGCTGAAGGTCTGTCAACTGAATCTAGAACCAACTGGAGACTTTTCTTGCACATCCTTTTGTTAAAAATATCTTACTGAGTGTTGGCATCATGCATATGAGACTTCAACTATAAAGCACTAGGTGAAAAAGTCTAGAGAGTTATGCACATTCTGAGAAGTTAAGGTTTTATCAAGTGTGAGGCATTAACACTGGGAAGGCGTCAGTGGGGACAACACTGTCTTTGAAAAACAGGGGGGCCCTCAGAATTCCTCTGTGGAAGTTGGGGGTGATGCTGAGGTGGAAGATGAATCTTAAAGCGGCATCTGCATTGTGCTGGTGAAAGGATGAGGATGCTGATGAAAGAAGAGTGTGTTAAAGGCTCTTCCACTTTAGGGCTGCCACTGACGAGAATAAAATACTCTCCGGGCAGCTGCAGCAATAGCAATGGGGCTGTACCACTGGGAATTAAATAGCAACTCATGCTGAGATCTTACAGGTGCCAGATGCTGCTGTCAGCGTCTGATAAGAATTCATTCATTTCATCTTCTTTAACACTCCAGTGAGTTGGGACTATCATTACTCCTAAGTTATGTAGCCCTGGCGGCTCAGTGGATTAAGTGTTGAGCTGTTAGTGGTTCTAACCCATCATGGTAAAAGATAAATCATCTTTCTCCTATAAAGGTTCACAGCCTTGGGAAGCCTGCAGGGCAGTTCTACTCGGTCCTACAGGTCACCATATGTCAGAATCAACTCACTGGTGACGGGTTTGGCTTAGGTTTGCAGGGTGGGAAGAGTGAGGTACGGGCACAGAGAAGTGAAGGACTTGCCCAGGTTTTCCATCCTGTAAGCAGCAGAGCTGGTGTTTGAGATCAGGCACTAGAGCATTAGAGCTCCTGTTCTGAGAACTGTGAGTGGGGAGGCTCAGGGGACAATGAGGAGGACAGGAAACCCAGGGCCCACCTGTTGCCCCTTCACCTCGCCCCGCCCTTTCCTTCAAAGTGAATCTTGAGTAAGATGTAAAGATGCCAGAATGAGGCTGGGGGCTCTGGGCCAGCACCCGTGGGGGCCACAAGAGACCGGACGGCAGCGCCCTTACCCAGAGTTTCCCGTCGTAGTAGTAGGCGCCCAGCAGCTTCACAATGTAGGGGTGGTCGCAGGTGGCCAGGATCTCGATCTCCACGATGTAGTCCTCCAGCTCCTCCTCGCTCTTGGTCTCGATCACTTTGGCTGCAGCCAAGGCCCCTGTCTCCTTGTTTTTGGCCTGCAAAGCAGACAGGGCAGTCAGCAAGGTGCACTCACGAGTAGAGTGACCCTCAGAGGCCGCTCAGAGTCCAGCATGAAATAAGAGACCTCAAAGCAGAGGCCAGTGTCCAGACAGGGCAAGAAGCTGAACCAGGAGGTGCTAGGGGTTAACAGAGGCCAGTGATGTGCATCCTATCAATTCTCAGCACAGAAAAGCAGGCAATGAAAGTGTTCAGCATTTATTATATACATATATATATATATATATGTAATTTATCACATATATAGCATTTAATCTATATAGAATATTTACCCTATATCTAGTATTTATCATCTATCCATAGCATTTATCATATATAGTATTTATCATTTATACAATATGATATAGATAGCATTTCTTTTATATCTATCAATCTATCTACATAATACAGTATTCATATTATGAAGAACTGGGATCTCTACTGGCTTAGTGGCAAAGAACTGCACTGCCAACACAAAGGTATGTGGTTCGAACTCATTAGCTGCTCCACAGGGAAAAGATAGGCAATCCTCTCCTGCGCAACTTACTGCCTCTGAAAACCTGCTGGCGGGCCAGCTATGGGTCACTTCTGAGTCAACAGTACACAACAATAATGAATAACTCAGGAGCTCTGGTGGCCTAGTCGTAAGGAGTTACACTGCCAAGCCAAAGGCACAGCTTGAATCCATTAACTGCCCCTCGGGAGAAAGATGGACAATCTCCTCCTGTGCAATTAACTAACTGCCTCTGAAAACCTGCTGGAGGGTGAGCTATGAGTTGGTGCTGACTCAACTACACCGTGAGTAACTATGATGACAACAGAAGAACCCTGCAAATGTTGTTGTCATCTGTTGTCAAGCCGGTCTGACTCATGGCGCCCTGATGCACAAGAGGACCAATGACTGCCAGGGATCCTGAGTCAGGGATTTCATTGGCTGACTTTCAGAAGCTGACTGACAGGCCTTTCTTTTTAGTCATCTTAGCTAGATACACCTCTGAAACCCATTTACTATCACAGCACTACTCCCCTGACGTTCTGGTGGTGGCTGCACATAAGCTACACTGGCTCAGAATCAAACCTGTGTCACCTACATGAAAAGCAAGGACCTTACCACTGAGGAAAAAGGATTCAAACTGAGGGGGAAATAAGATCATCTGCTCGATGCTTCCTACACTTTCCCAGTTTCCCATGTGTATATAAATCAGTGGAAAACTGGGAATTTTGACTGTAAGCTGAGGGAGGATCTGGGACACAGGAGGGATGCAAAAGATATTTTCACTCTTTGTATCAAAAAGTAGATTAATATAACTATATATGACCATTATTGTAGAACGTATATGAGGATCCAAGGGGAACGGGGAGGGGGAGCGGAGGGGTGAGGATGGGCTGGAAGAAAAGGAGGTAGTTAGTTAATCCTAGGGTTGCACAATTTGATGGGTGAAGGGAGGGGGAGGTAAAGGAAATGGGAAAGATCCAGTATGAAAATCAACGTACACAAACTCTGTAAGTAAACCAGTATAAAATAAAAATTTTAAATTAAAAATATATAAATTAATAGGAATAGTTCCACATATTTATTTACATCAACTCACAGACATTAAAGGAAGAATGAAGATAATTCTTAAATACCTTTCCCCTGGGTAAAGCAATTTTCTTACTTGATGAAAATGAGAGAGATATAGAAAGAGTTGTTGTTATGTGCAATCAAACTATGACTCATAGCATCTCTTTGAATAATGGCTCTGAACCCTATCCTGAGCCAATCACACCATCCTGAACACATCTGACATAATTGCCATTGTCATTGTGTCAATTACTCTCATTTAGGGTCTTCCTCTCTTGTGTTAACCTTCCATCTTTCCAAGTATGATGTCCTTCTTCAAGGACTCACTCATCCTGACAACATGCCCAAATTAATATGAGACAGAGCACATGATGGAATACTACACAGCACTTAAGAATAATGACTCTAAAAATTATTAAAAAACTTGGGAGAGGCTAGAGAGCACTATGCTGAGTGAACTAACTCAGTCTCGTAAGGACAAATATAGAGTAAGACCATTACTGTAAAAGTAGATTACTAGTAAAACGTGTATAAGGATCCAATGGAGAGAAGGAGTGAAGCAGAGGGGTGAGGATAGGCAAGGGGGTTGCACAATCTGATGGGTGGAGGGTGGAATGGGTAAAGGAAATGGGAAAGGTCCAACTGGGATCTGGAAAGACAGGGTAACAGAGGGCATAGTTCAATGTTGATTTATTTTATAAAATTTCATGAAAGAGAACGCATGAAACACAAAGTGAGTGAAGGATAGTGTGAAACACAATGTATACAAACTCTGTAAGGAAACCAATATGAAATAAATATTTTTTAAAAAATTCTTAGTTCCATAGAGCAACCTGATTTAACTTTCTCCAGGACAGACCTATTTGTTTACTTGGCATTCCATGGTATTTCCAATACTCTTCTCCAGCACCACAACTCAAAGGCATCAATCTCCTTCTGTCATCCTTAGTCATTGTCCAGCTCTCTGATGCATAGCAAGTAACTGAGAAGACCACGGCTTGGATAAGGTGCACTTTAGACTTCAGACTGACAACTTTGTTCTTTAGCACTCTGGAAAGGTCCTTGACAACAGTTTCCCAATGGAACTCACTTTTTTAATTATTATTATTATTTTACTCTTGCAACTCATTTTTGATTTCCTGAGTGCTGGCACCAAGCATGTTGACTGGGGATCCAAGCAAGATGAAATGGCTAACTACTTCAGTGTTTTCTCTATCTATCATGATGTTGCCTATTGGCCCAACAGTGAAAATTTTTGTTTTCTTGATGTTGAGATGCTTAATTCTCCCAAAATCAGTGTGAAAGCTTATTCAAACTGCCTTGGTAATCCATCACTTTATCAATCACACTTGCACACACTTTCTCTCATCATGCATACACATACATACAAATTATGTATCTGCTTTCTGATTCATTATAAACCTTATTGTTTTTCTATCCTCAACAGAGGAACTTTCAGAAGGTGTATTTTCTTAACAAATAATAATACTCAGAAACATAAGAGTGCATATGTGAAGATTATATATGTAAGTACTGGTGGTCTTACTAGGTAAGGCATTGTGCTGCCAATCCAAAGGCAGGAGGTTCAAATCCACCAGCAGCTTCATGGGAGAAAGATGAGCAATCTCCTCTCATGCAACTTATAGACTCTGAAAACCCACTAGAGGGTCAAGTTTAACAGGATATAAAAACAGCATAACATTATATAATTTATTATATATAATATATATAATGTCATGTTTTTAAACTTTTCTAGTTGTAGAGGGTTTTTTTAAAGTACCATTCACATTTTTATAATTGTAGTGCTGTTTACTGCACTGGGCAAATCTACTTCCAAGGATCTCTTTAAAGTGCTAAAGAGAAAGGATGTCCTTTTAGAAACACCGGGTGTGCCTGATTCAAGGAATTTTCAATTGCTTCATTTGGACAATGAATGAGGAAGATCACAGAACAATTGATGCCTTTGAGTTGTTATGTTAGTGAAGAGTGCTGGACTGCAACAGAACAAACAAACCTGTGTCAGACCAAATGCAGACAGGGTTTTCCTCAGAGGCAACTTCATCTCGTATACTCAGGGCATATTGCCAGGAGGCACTAGTCCCTAGAAAAAGACAGTATGCTTGGAAAAGTAGAGGCTCAGTGAAAGAGGAGACTCTCCATGAAGTGAACTGACACAATGACTGCAACAATGGCTGTGAAGAACAGACCGTGAGAATGGTGCCGGGTCTGGTAAGGTTGAGATCTGCTCTACATAAGGTTGCTAACATCTAATGATATAACTGCTGCTCACCACCTCCCAAGTCATCTCCAATCCTGGAAAAGAGAAGGCCTGCTCTTCTCTGAGGAGAGGAAGGTGGAGGAGGTAGAGGGTAGATCAGGAGAACACTTTGACCACGCTGTCCCCAGTTATGCTTGCCAAAGCCACAAGGCAAGAGAGCTGCGGTGGGTGACGGCCACCTCTGAACTAGGAAAGGAGACTGTTTGCCATTTTCTCCGGCCTTTCCTGAAAAGGGCCCTTCTCCCCTGATGGTGAGGGAGGCCTGAGTAGGGATCACTTTCCAGGAGCACACAGACTTGCTGTGGCCGCACCCTGAAGGGAAGCACTAACCACAGGGTGGGCTGCCCACAGGCACCAGCATCATGCCAGAGTCAACAGGGAGGAGCCCACCGCCCAGTCCCCCACCCAGATTTCACACAAACAGGGGCCTGCCAGAACAGGAGAAACAGAAAATGTGGACCAGAAAGTGACTTGGGAGGCTCCCTGGCAGGATTCTGAAGCAAGGTTCCAGCAACCACCGTATCCTGGTCCCCAAAGTCCAGAGGGTCAGCCCTGAGCCAGCCACCATCAAAGTGACCCGCATCTCATCAAGGACCACAGGAAGCCATGGCTCTCCAAGCTCTACTAGTTCTCCAGTGATGACATACAACAAATCAGGTAGACATCAATTTTGTAACCAAGAGAGATGAGGGTGTCTGTTCAGTTTAACGTACCCACACAAATAACACGCATTGCACACATAACCCACATAGTACACAGAGGAAACACCCACAAGGCAAAAATCTTAACATGCACTTGGTGTAAATATGAGGTAATTCCTTAGGTAAACTGTAACTAGGAGAATCTAAAGAGAAAGGGATTTACATACACTAGGTAGCACTGGAGGCCTAGTGGTAAGAAGCTGTGCTGCAATCAGAAAGGCCTGTGGTACAAATCTACTGGCTGCTTCATGGGAGAAGTGTGGGCAATTTCCACTCATGTACTTTTACTGACTCTGAAAACCTGCTGGAGGGTCAGCTATGAGTTGATTCTGAATCGATGAAACACAACAATAACTCAACTTTACTCATGGGAGAGTTCAAGCCCTGGTGGCTCAGTGGTAAAGAGCTGCACTGTCCATTCAAAGGTACGGAGTTCAAATCCACCAGTGACTCTGC